CCCCCTCAAACCCTAGCCGGCTCTGCTGGCGTTGGGGGAGCTCTGAGGGTTTCGCATAAAAGTTTTAGGGTTTCTGCTCATTCTCTCCGTTAAGATGGCGCGTGAGCTCACAAACCCTCAGCCTGTGTGTATTCCTTATACTGGATAGGGTCTCGGGGTGAAACTAGGGTTTAGGGTTTGGGGTTTAGGGTTTAGGGTTTAGGGTTTGGGTGTGTACTGCTTGTTGGCCCCTGCAGCCCCGGTGCTCAAGGTTATGAGCGACTCCGTCGTCTTAGACGGCAAGCAGCTGGAGATGGAGTACGCCCCCACCCTTAAACCCTAAACCCTAAACCCTAAACCCTAAATGCGTTATTATGTTAGGTTTTGCCGCCAGCTTGCCTACAACCGACCGCATTACCCTAGTGCAGGCCGAAAAGGGTTTAGGTGTAAAATATATGGGCGCAAAGCTTAGGGTTTAGGGTTTAGGGTTTAGGGTTTGTGAGTTTAGGAAGTGGGCGATACCCTATGAAGATGCTGCGGCCCGTCTACAGCGACCCGAGCTGAAGATCGTGACGCTGCAGAAGGCGTGCAGCTGCGTAGGCCTAAACCCTAAACCCTAAACCCTAAACCCTCAACTGAAGCTCTTAGATAAACCCTAAACTGGGGGCTCAGGTATCCCCGTGAAGGAGAAAGGCGCAGACGCAGCTGTTGTTGCTCTGTGTTTGGGGTGTACGTACACCAGATGACCCAGGCTTCTTTCGAAGCAACCAAGGGAGCAGCAGCGCATGCAGCAATCGTAGGAGTTGTTTGTTCTCTCTCGGATCCNCTTTCGAAGCAACCAAGGGAGCAGCAGCGCATGCAGCAATCGTAGGAGTTGTTTGTTCTCTCTCGGATCCACGCGGAGTCGCCAGTAAACCCTCAATTCCCAGTTGCCCAGCGAGCGTCCCCAAAAACTAGGGTTTAGGCTTTAGGGTTTAGGGTTTAGCGTTGGGGGTGCAATATTCCGGGTGTACGTGTGAGCGTCTTCGCAGGCGAAATGAAGTGGTGGTGGGTCCTGTGGGATACGAAGTCAGTTTCTTCTTTTTCTGCTGCTGCTGCTGCTGCTGCTGCTGCTGCTACTCTGCTGTTGCTGCTGCTAGGAGCGCCGAATAAAGGGGCTCACTCGAAGGGTTTAGGGTTCAGGGTTTAGGGTTTAGGGTTTTGTTCGGTGCTGCCGTCTGCACAGGGAAACGAATCTGCTTCTGACATTCCGAGGAGAAGGGTTGTGGAGTAGCCTAAGGTAAGGGTTTAGGGTTTAGGGTTCGGGTTTTGCGTGTTTAGGGTCTTAGGGTTTTGTGTTTAGGGTTTAGGGTTTAGGGGGAAA